CTACTGTGCAGCTGCCACCGCCGGCGCCTGAGGATGCCCGTGGTGGTGAGGCGGCTGCTTTGCCATCCCCGTCAGCTGCAGGACCAGCAGCCATTGCCGGCCCACGGTTTCCGTGCACGGTAAGACAGCAGGTGGGGGAGCCTGAGGGGCGGGGTCGGTCCGTGTGAGGGAGGGTACACCACAGAGCACACAACGGGTGCACCACATGACACTGTCCGTTGACCAACCTGGTGAACCCGTCGTGCCTCCTGTGCATCACTCCGTGCAACGCGACCTGCAGGAGGGGGGCGCCTCTGCTACTGTGCAGCTGCCACCAACGGCGCCTGGGGACACCCATGGTGGCGAGGCGGCTGCTTTGCCATCCCCGTCAGCTGCAGGACCAGCTGCCATTGCCGGCCCACGGTTTCCGTGCACGGTAAGACAGCAGGTGGGGGAGCCTGAGGGGCGGGGTCGGTCCGTGTGAGGGAGGGTACACCACAGAGCACACAACGGGTGCACCACATGACACTGTCCGTTGACCAACCTGGTGAACCCGTCGTGCCTCCTGTGCATCACTCCGTGCAACGCGACCTGCAGGAGGGGGGCGCCTCTGCTACTGTGCAGCTGCCACCAACGGCGCCTGGGGACACCCATGGTGGCGAGGCGGCTGCTTTGCCATCCCCGTCAGCTGCAGGACCAGCTGCCATTGCCGGCCCACGGTTTCCGTGCACGGTAAGACAGCAGGTGGGGGAGCCTGAGGGGCGGGGTCGGTCCGTGTGAGGGAGGGTGCACCACAGAGCACACAACGGGTGCACCGCATGACACTGCCCGTTGACCAACCTGGTGAACCCGTCGTGCCTCCTGTGCATCACTCCGTGCGACGCGACCTGCAGGAGGGGGGCGCCTCTGCTACTGTGCAGCTGCCACCAACGGCGCCTGGGGACACCCATGGTGGCGAGGCGGCTGCTCAAGCAGCAGACGAGAGGAGGAGACTGCTGCCCAATGATGAAGCACACCTTGAGCGAGAGATCCACCGCATGGCTGGTGCGGTGGTGTCCTATCAGGAGTCTCGCCATCAGTGAAGGCCCACCAGGAACCGGGCCATCCAGTCATCATCAGACTCGGACGTGGAATCTGAGCCGGAACCAGAGGACAGCCATGTACTCGAAACAGACCTTTTAATGCACACGATAGACATGGTCCCGGTGATGCTTGACAAGGAGGGGTTTGCGGTAGTAGACAATCCCCACCTCGCCTCTCTGATCACTCCCGATGTTCCCACAAGCACCACTGAGCTCGTGTCAGGCGATAAGGCAGCAGCAATATTTCAGCGTGGGGACCTTCCCGCATGGCAGGGAGGGCTACCATGGCTTACCCATGAGGGCAGGCTCCGACTCAGCAATGGAACCGGGAGGCGTATGATGGTCAAGCTGGACAAGGTGCAGTAGGGGCCTAGCCTGTCGAACATAGCATCCTATGTGGAGGGTGTTATCCAAGACATAGTGGAGCGGATCCCTGGCTTGCACCTGGTCAAGCCTGGTGTGATCCTTGGCAACAACCCTGGCGGCACAGCCCCCATTCGTCGGCAGACGCTGCACGTGGACATGCAGCCTGGCAGAGGGATGTCGTTTGTTGCAATCGTGCCATTGGAGCAGGACCTCGAGCTGTGGGTGAGCCCAGGGAGCCACCACACTGTGCAGGCGTTTGCTGCTCGGGCAGAGCCTGCTGCTGCAGCTGCTGCTGCAGCAGCAGATGATGCCGAAGCAGGTGATGCAAGCAGAGCCGACAGAAGCAGTGCGGCAGGTGGGGAGGCCAGCCCCCACAGCGGTCAGGGGGCGGGGCGGGGTGGCACGCCATCAGGCCTGTCCCTGGCGAACACATTGACCCTGCCGGACGAGACAGCCCTGAGGTTCGTGTCACACCTCCTGAG